TCCACAAGAACCACACTTGCACAGACACACACATTTACACACACACACACACACACACACACACACACCATGTTATTCCAACAATCTTCCAGATACCCATTTACGGTGAGGTTTGTGTGTGCGAAGAAGGGAGGAGAAAGGAAGAACGAGAGAGTTTAGACAGTGTGTGTGCTGGGAAAGTTTTTTTTGGGGGGGGGACTCCTTCCTGGTCAGAAATAACAAGAAACACATTCATGAGAGTTGCAGAGGAGTTGTGTAGCAGAACAAGTGAGGGACTGAATGGTCAGCGTAGTGCTGAATCAGCACATCACATTCATTTGATCTGGTTTTTGTTGTTCTTTTTCTCTCTCTCCCTCTTTGCATCTTTTAAGTTTCTTTCAGAATATCTTTTGTTCATATTTTGACCGCAAAGTATTCGACTTCACCTCAACAATTACAGCAACAACTGAAAGTATGAAGGATTTACAACAAAGCTGTCCCTGATCTCCCCCCAGAATCATACAGACACCCTCTGTTCTTGAACTGCTTCTCTCCCTCGTCATGAGGGGCTGCACATGAAGTTGTATGTGGACAGAGCAGTGTGGGGGATCAAGTTTTGAAGCAATGGGTTTTAGTCAGCCTCAGTGCAGAGCTTATCAAGCCCCGCACACAGCTTATGTAAATGGATAAGCTGCCATTTCCACCACGAGCCCCTTTATCAACAGCGTCTCACCACACCGACGCCAGACACAGGCAAGCTGTGCCTCTGTGTGTGTGTGTGTGTGTGTGTGTGTGTGTGTGTGTGTGTGTGTGTGTGTGTGTGTGTGTCGTGTCGGGTGTGGGCCAATATCTGCCTAGTAACTACAGACAGGCTGTTCCAGATCCACATAAGTAATCCTCACACCCTCTCACACCCACACAGAGACTCAAACACAACAATAAGGCATAGCTGTAAAAAAAAAATTGTGTGCATCTGTTGTCATGGCAACATTGTCACTTCTCAGCTGCTCACGTGTGCACATCATGGCGGCGGAAAAATTATTATTAAGGCCCCCTTTTCAGTACAACCACCAGCACCATTATACCTAACCACCCACGCACACTCAGTGGTACCGAAACCTACAAACACACACATAAATATAGAAGCCCAGCTATGACAGCGAGGGGGATGGGTAATGATACTCGACACCTCCCACTCTCCTCAGCTGCCCCCTCCCCTCGCTGAAACCCATGAACCTTCACATACGGAACAGACATACATTTCACACACACACACACACACTCCTTCTTTTCTGCTTCTCCATACAGGGCTGTGTTAACACTCACACACAAAGACCTCAGTGTAAAACACAGATTTCTTCTTGCCCCCCCACCCCCCAACCTCCCTGTGCTCTCTTTTACTCACGTATGAAAAGCTTATGTCTGTACAATCAGGGGAGCGTACTACTACTACTTTGTCGACTACATGGAGGACGATTAGCATAAAAAAACGCCACATGATGATGAGTTTTCACAAGCACTGTTCACAGTTGACTAACCATTCTGCGAGCGTGACTTTAAAGCTAAACTGCGTTACAGTAGTCGTCAATAATTAACCCGTTTGCCACTATTTGATTACATTATTTGATTACATTGTCACTTTAATCAGCAAATAATGCCTCCTGGTTTTTAAAGAGCCTCCCCTGACACACTGGTTGTAAATTGTATGCAAATGAACCCACTGTCATCAAAGCGGGTCTTTTGTGAAAAGCCTAGAAAACGGGAGCAGAAGACATCATTAACATCATGTGATATTGAATAAATTACTGAAAATTATAAGTGTGAATGAATGTGCTGCTTCAAGCCCTCGTAATAATAATAATGACTCTTCTTTCTTTTCTCTGTTACTCACTCCGCATGGTAACAAAGAACCACAGTAGGGCTTACTCAGATAACCACTGGTCATCCTGCACAGTGACTCAGATAATCACCAGCTGGCTTCTTCTATTTATCAGAGATTAACAATCTGTGGTAATAAATTGCCAGGTCTCCTTTATTTCAACCTTTAGTTTGTTCTTATGAATACATTAAGGGGTGAACCCTCCTTTTAAATGATGCCAAGATTACATCAGGCAGCAAAAACAGAGGTACAATATAAACAAAAAGGATTTTCCTTTGGTATATTGGTGCATAACATATTTATTTACAGATATAAATAAAGATGAAAGCAAGTACAGTAATCAAGAAGTTAAGAAGACAATAAAAGGATACTAAAAAGAGACAATTTGTATAATATAAAAAGACAATATGACTGTTATTTAAATGAAGAGCTGTGCAGTAACACACTGATTCAGGTGAGTATTAATGTGGGAATGCAGGTCACATTGTTGAGTCTTTCTTAACAAAGAATGAAATAAAACATTGTGAGACTCAGTTAATCCAGCACAGTGTGCTAGAGCTAATAGAATAAAAGGTTTGCCAGCATTACCCAAACAAATGAGACGGTAAAACAATATGTGAATAAATATATGAAGTTAGAGTTACAGATACTTAAATAAATATGTTTCATTCAATACACAAATTGTATTGAAGGAGAAAAAAAGACATAAACGATATGTCTGTCAAGTAATTCTGAAACCACTGGTATCTGTTGTGTGTGTGTGTGTGTGTGTGTGTGTGTGTGTGTGTATTCCCGTTAAGAAAGCTAGGGGAAGATCCGCAGCAGCGTCTAGTTTTACTTTCACTTACTTACACCTTTTTCCAGTTTCCACATCAGCTCTGGTTTGAACAGGAGCAAACAGAGAGTACAAAGCCTTCTAGGTTTCCACGAATTCACTCGCTGATATATGACAGCATGTTCCCTTAAAACTCACACAAACACCACACAGCCCTACCCCCTACCCCCCCCCGCTAAGTGTCTGTTTTCTACCCAGTGTGGCCTGTAGCGCCTGGGGATGTGTGTGACGTTACGCTGACAAGGTAGTTGGTGGGGGGATACGTTGGGACTCGTTAGACTGCAGGGCAAACTATACAGCGCACATGACACACTGCAAGGGAGTGGAAAGGAACGTGATTTCATACTACACAAAAAACATTCCCAGTAGATGATATCTGGCGTAAAAAACACAGCAGGCTAAAGTAAAAACTCGACAGAACAAAAAGGAGCCCACATGGTGACTGTATGTCTTCAGAATCATGATCTGGCTTTACCACCGGGGGCCATAGCCAAGATTTTTAAGAAATACTGAGGCCAAGAGTCCAGAGTCCACCCCCAGTTTGATCCAGTTTTGATTTGACTGGCCACCAAAAAACTGTATTAACGTGTTTTTGTCCTAAAATACGGACAAGAATTTGGATTCAGCCTTAAGAGCTCACCCTGTTTTTTTGTGTGTGTATTGTAAAACTGTAACTGTAAACTCCCTCTCAGACTGTTTTAAACCCCCAAAATCCCCTGAATCAATGCCTAAGGGGTCTTCTGGGGGGGGGAGTACAACCCTGTTTATCAACTGAAACTGGAGACGACCTAAACGAATTTCACAAGCATTTTCTAACAGATGTACATCCTGAGAGGATCTCTTGGTGCTGTTCAGGCCCCTTATCTTTTGTAACCTCCCACAGGACATGTTTACACTCTCAATGTCAACACAATGTGTGTGTGTGTGTGTGTGTGTGTGTGTGTGTGTGTGTGTGTGTGTGTGTGTGTGTACATATATCTCTGCGAGGACCACTGTGAGGTTATAGACTTTCAGACTGAGGACATTGTTCCAATGTGAAGATATTTCAGCCGGTTTCACCTGGGCTGGATCTTCAAACAGCTGTTAGAGAGTTAACATTTTGTTTCGGGTTTAAAGGGCTGAACAATGTAAATGAGGGTCCTCACCGAGTGGGAGTGAATTAAAGTATCAATGCTACCAATTTAAGGCCTTTTTTGACTATCAATACTGAGGTCAATGAGAGCGATACTGAAAAAATAATTGGTCTTATAGATCACTTGCAGGACACATAAACATAATTTGAGATGACTTGATTAAATACAGGTTATATATATATACATTTATATAGTATATAGTAATAGTAGTAAAAAAGAAATGCCTCATATTTATGGATGTATGGCAAATCACAAAATAGTATTCAGAAGCAGGGGTGGATCTAGAGATCATGGGGTGGCATAGGGCCTTCAAAGGTCGGCAGAAGCTGATTTTATCACAGCTAGAAATCAATACATTGTTTGACTTCCAAATCTACAGACATTTTTCCAAATGAAATGAACTTAAGCCTATCACTTTGTGTAATTAATGTAAAATAGTGTGTTAAATTTGACAGAATTTGACACCAAACTGGGGTGACAAGGCATTTTTTTATGCCACCCTTGTAGATATGATATTCCTTTAACCACCTTTTATTATAACAAATATTAGTCACTGCGATCCTAGCCCTGGTATAACTTGATCGTGGTATCACCCATCCCTACTGCTTGACTGTTGTTACCTCCCAGAAAACATGTTTACACTCTCAATGTCAACACAAGTGTTTGTTTGTGTGTGTGTGTGTGTGTGTGTGTGTGTGTGTGTGTGTGCTCTCCCATAACAAACAGGCTAGCATGTATTTCAAGTTATAAATCTGCACTTGTTTTTGTTCCTCCTTGACAGATATCATCTGTCTAGTCGGCAGGAGGGGCGAGGTTGTTTTTACCAACAAAATAGTCCCCAGATGAGAAAATCTTGCACAAATAAGAGACTTCCCCACGTGATTAACCTCTTAATCATACATTTATTGATTTAAAAAAAAAAAATAATTGTGTCATGTCATGTCAGCACTACTCATTTGTCCATTCATTTAGGTGGATTACTCAATACAAAGATTCGTGGCCTTGTAGGAGGATGACGAATGGATGTGTAATAACGCCACACCGGCAACGCGCATGCGCCGCCTCGCAGACTGTACACAGCGCCCGACGGGGGCTCCGCGCCGCAGCCAATAGCAGCACGTTGTTCTGCCCGTGACATCACCCGCCACTCCTCTTACTAAAGAAGGAAACAAACATCCATCCAGAAGGAACGGGAGACGGAGAGAGAGAGAGAGAGAGAGAGAGTGAAAGAGAGGTAGGAGGGCGAGGAAGGGAAGAATTTAAACACACCTAAAAGACAAAAAAAAAAAAAAAAAGGCTGTCTGACACCGAAGGGACACAGCAAACTACTAAAAGACACACACAAAAGGACGTTACCGTTGGGGAGGACCTGAAGACACAAACGACCTTTTTTCGTTACACACACACACACACACACACACACACACACACACAGAAACGGCCACTTTTCCTGTCGTCTCTCGCGAGAAAACCTCATCGATTTTCAGCAGGTGATGATCTTGGATTATTGCTCTTTTTTTTCTTAACAAGGATGCCTTTTGAAGTGAGCTCACCTGACCGAGGTAAACAACGAAAAAGAAGGAGGGGGGTGTTTGTTAACTTAAACAGCTGATGGTCGGTCATGGCGACCTTTAACGGTGGATTGAAAGGTCAGGTGCTGTTTGTTTTGTGTGTGTGTGTGTGTTGTGTGTGTGTGTGTGTGTGATGGTATTGTGTGGTAAACAAGAACTCCCCCACCTTCCTCCTCCTCCTCTTCTTCTTCTTCCTCCCTCACCACCATTTTTCTTTAGCCCATTTGCTCGTTTAACTTGTCAACACCACTCTGTCTCCTTCCCTTCACAAGCTCCCCTTTTTTTTAAAAAAAAAAGAAAAACGTGACTCCGTCTGGTTTCAGGAGGAAAAACAAGGGAGGGAGCTAGCTGCTGCCATGGGTGCTGTTTTTCTATTTGCCCCGAGCTGGGGGATGGGGGGGAAGCAAAGCCAGCTAATTCCTGTCTAGAAATAGAAAATTCATAAGCCGAATAGGCAAGTAAGGTTAGAGCGAGAGAAATCAATTCAATTTACTACAAAGCTTTTGTTTTTTTGGTGGTTAAATGTTAAAATAAACTTAAAAATGCATTAAAATTGCTGTAGTTTCTGCATTAGGTAGAAAACAAAGATGTTAGGGAGTCGGTGTTAGGAAGCTATGTGGCACCAAGTCGTTTTCTTAAAGTACTTAAGAGTGATTGTATAATCGAGGTTTGTGTGCACATTGCCAACAAAAAAAAAAAAAAAAATGCGTAGATAAAATGTTAAGTGAAAACGAAGGCGAGGAAGAAGAGCTACAAAACAGGAAGCAGAGAGATTGTAGACAAAGGAAGAAACAAAGGGAGCAGAGACCACACTGTCTAGACTGGGTTACTTCCCTTCCTGCTTACCTCCTGTGATTATGTGCATGCATTGTGTCCCCCCCTTTTTTTTTAATCTCCAAAGAGAGAATAATTTTGCTGCTTGTAACAAAACCAAACACTGGGCTTTTTCCTGTTCTGTCCCTCAGTGTGACTCAGTAGTTTTCAGCCCCAGCAGGGCCCTGAAATATGAGCTAAGCCTGCGACTGATAGAAGAGCTTTCTTCCCCCTCTTGTTTTTTTGTTTTGCTACAGATTTTAACACATATGATCTTCAGATGACCGACTTTAAGTTGTTCCAATCGCTTAGAAACCACCCCAAACAACACAGTTTAGAGGTCAGCCCAGGTTTTTTTTTAATTTGTTGCTGTGAGAGTGTTATTGGGCTTTTTGTGAAAGGAAGTTGGTGGTGAATGACTGACTGGTGATCTGCCCTGTGCTGGAAACCCCCTGACTTGCCCTGTCGGATGTGTAGTGTTTTACAGCACACCGTAAACATATTTTAAGAACATTTCAGCTGCTAATTGGAACAAGACAAGGCACAGGTATTTGTTTTTCCCCTCATACAAGTAGTAATGTAGTTAATTAATTAATTAATCGAGGTGTATGCATGATTATACACCGCCATTAATACTAGTATTTATTGAATAGTTGTGTGCTTTTTCTCTCCGAATGACCTCCTTTTTGATCATTAAACATTTAAAAGTATGAATTTGTGTCCGCTTGAAAGCCGGTGCAGATTTTAAAGAGTACATTCATTCATTTTATTAACCTCCAATCTCACTCCGGTTTCGTGGTAGGTCTCGGTAAAGGTTAGGTTAACATGCCCTGCTGTTTGTCTGACAGCTGGTGCCCAAATGTGACAGCTGAGCCACATTGTCCATTGTTCCTTTGTGTCAGAAAGTCAACAGTCACGGTTAATCTGTAAGCTGCTATGGGCCTCTCTTCAAGGCCTTTTGTTTGTATCTTTATATGTTGTTCTTGTTGGCAGATGTGACGTGGTTTTTTGTTTTAATATTCCTACTGATGAGCTGCTCAAAGACCTTCACCAAGAGCATACGTAGCAGTCTGCGTAAATAAACTGGTGTTTCTGGGTTTAAAGAGAAAGATACTGACTATCACGTGTAAAGAAAAATTCCTCTGGAGCCACATGGGAGTTACCAACCTCTAGCTCAGTCCTCCTGGCTGGTATTTCTCAGCAGTCAGCAGTTGAACACGTGACGCGTGAAGAGGAGAGAAGGTCTTTGTGGGCTTTTCCAAGGAAACCCTTTGTTGACACGACAGTGATAACACGCGGGGTTAGAGAGAGAGGGGGGAGGGGGAGGGAAGGGTTCAGAGGTGGGTGGGTGGCTCTAAATTTAATAGCACTCGTTAGTCTGTTGTTGAGGTCAGGCCACCTCGAGTGAACTGACAGGACGATCTGAAACAACTGCCAGCCTCTCCTGGAACATTAAGCTCGCCCAGGCCTGTTTGTGTCCGTGACCAGAATATGTACGAGCTTCACGCCGACGTGAGCGAGCGAGCAGCTGCCGTGTTACAGCACAAAAGGTCCAAAGGTTGTTTACAGGAGAAATATGGTGCTGTTGCCATGTTGGCTGAGGGGAGAGGTGTGATGATTTTGTGAATCAGTCAGGACAGGAACGAGCAGGCAGGATGCTTCTTACCCAACTAATCTAAGACTTCCTGCGTGTCTTTGTTTGTTCATTCATCAAGGTGTTTTTTTTCCTATCTGTTGCGTCAAAAGGCAGCGCCTCCGTTACGCCAATTCCTGTTGTATTGCATTGCAGCAGAGCGTGGGGGTGACGACGTCATAGGGCTGCACGTTTGGCCAAGTTGCGCACATACATGCTTGTTTATGGGCGTGTGCGTGTAGCGAAATGACTCGGGGAGTTTTGAAATGCCTTGCGAGGCAAGAAGCAATGGGGGAAGGGAGGGGGTGACGCTGTCTGACACCGACGGCCTACTTTGTTCTCCTTCTTTCATTATCTCGTCCTTTTTAGTAAGAACAGGATATTATTTTACCGTCTGTGTTTTTTTGTTCCTCTTTGTGGCCGAGATACGGGCTGGTGAGTCAGAACTTCGTCTTCTCTCTGTTAGGAGGAAGTAAATGGGCTGATGAGGTAGCGTTAGTTGTTCAGAATAGTCATTTTCTAGTCACATGATAATCATGACACACAATAATGGTGCATTAGTTGCCTCGAGGCACAGTTTGTGAAGTTTCTTTGAGGGCGTTTTCTCTCTCTGAAGCAGGTATGAAAATGAGAGATCGTGGGTCAAATGTTCGGGAGAACGAAACCAACTGTTCTCAGAAGCTGTGAAAAGAGGGGGTTTGTAGGGGGGAGGAGGTAGAGGGAGGAAAAAAGGGGGGATAACAACAGTGAATAAAGCTGTGGGGACAGAACAGAGTCCAGCTTCTGCCAAGGTGCTGAACAGAACAGTGAGTTGTTGTTTGTTCTCTGGACTTCCTGTGGAGAAACGGTCATTACTGTAATTCAGGCTAAAGGTCGAGTCTAAACAGACAGGGGCATGTTATTCTCAAAACATTTTCATAATATGACTCCTGTTATCTGTCCGCCCTGATAATTTAATTTGGACAGCGGCATCTTTTTTTTTTTTTTTTTTTACAGGGAAATGTGTCCTGTGATGGGAAAACACTTTTTAAAGCTCTGTATTTCACACTAAGGGGTGTTCATGCAGAAGCTTTCTCTCTCTTTCTCTGGTGCTGTCTGCGAGTCTAATAACCAAACCTCTCTCTCTCTCTCTCTCTCTTTCATTCTGTTAGCAATGGCCCAAGAGACGAACCAGAGCCCGGTGCCCATGCTTTGTGCCACAGGCTGCGGTTTCTATGGCAACCCGAGAACCAATGGGATGTGCTCCGTATGCTATAAGGAACACCTGACACGGCAGCAGAGCAGCGACCGCATGAGCCCCCTCAGCCCTATGGGTAAGTCGGTTCACACACACACACACACACACACACACACACACAAAAGAAATGAACAACAGATTCTGTCTTTTTTTTAGAAAAAGTGGAAACAACATTTCAGTCCAAATTGATTTCAGACGTTCATAATGTAAACATATGGATGTGCCTCACCCTATACATTTACAGCTAGAGATAAGGAGTGACTACAGGAAGTGTAGACATTGTTTTGAAATACAACCAGTTGTAAGCCACTCGGTGTGTTTTCCCAGCTCTCTTTCTTTCCCTCCCTGTCCCCCCCCGTCTCTGTTTTTCCACTCTGTGTAATGAAAGACAGCTGTTTTCTTCATTACAGTCTTCAAGGTTATGTGGGTGTTTTTACTCCTTCAGACATTTCTAAGGTCAAACATTGAAGTTTCTCCCACAATGTGACACCGGTGGCCTTTTTTTTCCTTTCTTGAAGCTGTTTCAAACAAGACCAAACACATTAGAAAAAAGCAAAGAAAGATGTTGTTGAATACAGCTTTGTGAAGGAAAAATAACTTCTATCAAGTCTGAAGAGCTTTTAAATTAATAATTAGTTAGTAATGCAGTGTTTAGAGTGTTTTTCACTGAATTCACCTATGATTGTATTGATAATGTTTGAGTTTTGTCTAATTAAATTCACTCTGCTCTCATCCAGGCTCAGCTGCTAGTCCTACCTCAGAGGCCTCGGCCATCCAGAGACTAGAAGCAAGTCTAGCTAAGGTTGATGCCTCCCCTGCCTCCTCGCCAGACATGTCTAGGTCAGTATTGGTCGTGTTTGACAGTTGACGAGATAGTTGGTGGGCTTTCTTTTTAAAATTGGAGAATGTGTGTGAACTTGCTGGCTGACTGCTCCCTTTTTAATTTTTTTTTTATATTTAACCTTCAGAAATATTCAAGGATCTCTTCCTGTGACTCAACAAATGACAGAGATGAGCATCTCGAGAGAGGACAAACCAGAACCCCTAGAGCCTGGTAAAAAAAAAAAAAAAAACACAGACGCCACATAAACACACTTGTAGTAACAGACATAAGCACAAGCATTGGGAACATGCAGGTGACCGCACATACATGCAGACTTTCTTTTAAGGCAAACATCGCCTTATAGGACCCACCGTAGCCACAGTTTATTTTTGATGCTTCGCTGCGTACCCCTAAACCCAACTGTTGGTTTTACTTACAGCCTCCGAGAAAGAGAGAGGAGGTCTAAAAATAAACCTGTTTTAAAAATACCTCTACACCGGAGGGCATTCTCAGACTCGGTGCTGCCTGCCAGAGGCTTTCTCAGAGTAGAGCGCTATTTTCTGCCAAAAACAACAGGAGCAATTTAGAGATAAGGAACATACTAATTACTATCATTTGGGACAAAAGTACACAATTTCAGTTGTTGTTTGCGTGTTTTATGGAACTATGAACAGAACTCATTAATCCAAATGCTCTTGTAAATCAGATAATGGCTAATTAAACCTAGCATGACTAATGTGTTTCTGTTTTCTTTCCAGTTGTAAACCAGCCTGCTGCTTCTAGCCCTACTCCTGTAGCTTCTTCCAGCAGTGAGGATAGCAAGGGTGACACCCCCAAACCCAAGAAGAATAGGTGCTTCATGTGCCGCAAAAGGGTGGGCCTTACAGGTGAGCAGGGCGGCATCAGTGATTCAGGTTGTGATCCTTCCTAAGTCCTGCCCCCTTTTTGCTCTGCGCTCCGATAACAGTGGAGCAAGCCTCGGTCAGAAACCTTTAAACCTTCGCTGTGCTTAGATATGCTACGTGCTAGGCTATGTTCAAACGACAGTCAGAGCGACATATACACACATCTTAAGTTAGTTGGTTAGCGTTTGGTAACTTAAGATGTGACTATGTGTCGCTTTTATCTTTTTAACCATCTTCAGAATTTGGTTGTCTTTTCAACATAGCACATATAAGTACAGTTGACCGAGGTTTGCTCAACAGTTATCAGAGCACAGAGCACAAAGGGGCGACACTGTGGAAGGGTAAGTTGTTTTACTGGTCCTCCATGGAAAGACAAAGGGTTCTTTCTTTCCACCTCTTGTGTTCTAGCTCTGACCTCTGACCTTTTTTATGCTCCCAGGGTTTGACTGTCGCTGTGGCAACCTGTTCTGTGGCATCCACCGATATTCCGACAAGCACAACTGTCCCTATGATTACAAAGCCGAGGCTGCCGCCAAGATCCGTAAGGAGAACCCCGTGGTGGTGGCCGACAAGATCCAGAGAATATAGATGTGACAAAAATAACAACAACAACAACAACAACAATAGCAGCGGCGGCAACGATGACAACACCTTTTGACAAAGACTGGAGTATGAGTGTGAACCTTTTGAAATGAGCACTGGCATGAGTGGCTAAGTGAGGATTGAAAGGACTTGATTTACAAAATAACAACCTCAAGAAAATGATGGAGGGAAAAAAAAGAAGAAAAAACGAAAAGATCCTGTCTGAGGGAGATGCATGAATGATCACTTTTCTCCTTTTTTTTTTTTGATTAATTCATTAGTTTGTTTTATCCTATTATCTGTGGTGTGACTTTGCCGCTGTTCAGTCCTTTTTTTTTTTTTTTTCTAAGAATATGTATTGTCTTATTAAAAGCAGCCCAGGCTAACTGTCCAGGATACGCTGTGCTCCTCTCACCCTAAAACCAGGCGCCATTTTGTGCCAAACCATAGACAACCATTTTACTCAGACTCTGTCCAGTGTCAGACACCGGCGGGTCTTTTTAAAACATTCAGACTACACAGTGTAACAGTCCACACGAGTTGTGTCCCTTAACCTTTTTGAACTTCTTGTTCTGTGCTCCATTGGTACTGGAGTCAGTCAGCGTTTGGAGAACCGTACAACTGTCCCCCACCGTGCACAAGGGGCTTTGTTACCTTGTCTCTGTCTTTCCTAGCTTTACCTACCTCACAGCTGCTGTGTTAAGCTTTGTTGTCTTCCCTTTTTACTTTTTTTGTTTTCATCAGCTTTGACCCCAGCAGAACAATGGATCATCTTGATAGTCAGCCTCAGTGACCCTCTGATCAGCATGTCTGTGTTGACTTTGATCGGTTTGATTGTGATAAGGCTGTTCCATTATGGCTGGAGGTATCACGCTAGACAGGGACAAACGAATAACTCCGCGTTTCACTGAATCTAAACATTTTCAATGGACATAATGGGTAAAGGAGTCCCCCCCCCCCCCCAACCCCACCCCACCCCCAAACTGGTCTGTGCTCATATTGTAATCACAGACGCCTGGTGTAGGGCTGTGTGTACCGATGTGTGGCCTGAGAGGAAGGACGGCACCCTTTCCCTGGCAGGCCTGGTAGGTGAATCTAAGCAACAATATTGTAGGGGCATGAATGAATGAATGGGATAAATGCACGAGTTACTCTTCATCTGCATTTTTTTTTTTAGTGTTTCAGAAATCTTTGGCATCACTCAACTTAGGGTTTCATTTTATTTTGCTGAGAGACAATTATCTGTTATATTTTATTAGCTTTTTTTTTCTCTCTCTCTCTCTTCCATCGATGTCGTACTGATGTTAGCGCATGTATTCAGTGCATTTGTGGAATTAGGGGTATGTGAACCATGATTTTGTTTTTGTTTTTAAATGCGCTAACAGAACGTTCATGTGAGCAGTGTGAATGTGAATCAGTGTGTTTGTGTGTGTGTGTGTTGTCCCCCCCCCCAACACCTTTTTGTCTGTGGAGCTACCCGGTTTATCAGCACATGTTTACAGAACTACAGGAGCATGCCAGAGCTAGATTTATGAAAAATAATAGATACCAAGATTAGATGTAACTTCTCATCTGTCTAACAGCTATTGGTCTGTGTGTCTGCTTTAGAGCACCGTAGAGAAGTGTGTGTGGGTGAGTGTGTGTGTGGGTGTGTGTGTGTGTATTTGTGCGGGTGCATGTGTGTGTTTTCATGGCTGCCTGACACATTGAAACCATGTATGTTTGTGACTTGTGTTAACCCCCCTCTCCCTATTTTTTCTCCCCCTGTAAGGATGTGTTTTTCATTTAAAAGCCAGCTGTATGTATCCGTTTGAGTTTTTCCTTTCTGATTCTTAGTTATATGCAAATTTGTACAAAAAATGAAAAAACAACAAACTGTGTTGATATTTATGTATTACATATAATCTTGCTATCCAGCATTACGACAGAATAGTATCATGTAAATAAAACTGTACAGAGAGACATTACCAAAGCTTTGTTGTGTGTTGACTTTCACAGCTCGCCATTTTCTCTCACTTCTTCGATATCGTGTGAGTGTTGTTTGCCTATTTCAAAGTGTTATTTCAACTAGTATTACACATTTTTATAGCCTTTCTTGTGCAGTTAATCCTGTCAGACCAGGAGGGGAACATTAAATGGGGTCAGTAGGTTTATTATACCGTAGCACAGTGGTTCTTGTGGTGTCAAGCACCCCTCGACAAACCGATACACATCAGGCTCTGACCTGCATTTGATAAGATGCAGTCTCAGGCATCCGTGTCTGAGAAGATCTAGTTTTTCTATATCTTATAATATATATAGATTAACACAGATGAGTGTATGAACAGAATAGCCATACTTACACATTCTCTCATTGGACTAACTTTTAGCCAATTAAATAATAGTGAAACTAAAACATTCCCCATTTTTAAGGTATATAAAGTAAGTGATGAATCAGCACAAGACAGTTATGAGTGAATTAATTTCAGTCAGGACAGGAATAGTGTATGAGCTACATGCCAGGGTACACATTACCCTCTAACACCTTACCCTGGCTAACCCGGCCTCTTTAGCATCCTCATGTTAATACGGAGCGCTGGCAGCACAGGCTGTAAACCTCGCTCCAGAGAATCTTGTCCAAACCTCGTCTGGGTCACACAGGAAGTATTAATCCCCCGCACCCTGGAAGAAAGCGATCCTGTTCCACTCCTATCTAGGCCAAGGGCGCCCAACCTTTTTCCTTAAAGACCTGTTTTCTATCAATGAGTAAACTGATTAAGTGACATATTTTATGGATATTTACAATGAACCCAAATAGTGAACACAAAAACTGCAGGAAGTTTGTGTAAAATGAGCAGTTTGAATTCATTTTGAGACGATTATTTCCTGTGAATTTTGCACCAGAGATGAGTTTTCCTGATTTTTTTAATGAACTTTTTATACAATTCTCTGTCTGTATAACATATACTTCATTGGCTTTTTTGACATTCAGTTTTTCTTCACATTGTTCTATTAACTTGACAGAGTGAAAGCTCTGTGAATATAGCTTGTGCTCCGTTCTTCACTGTGCTCTCATTCTGTTAATATCTTAAATAATAATCTTTAAAAATAACCATTTCTGATACATAGGCCTTCTGAATATAAAATCAAGTAGTCCTTGCGGCCCCCCGAGAAGGTTGGGAATCGTTGTACATCCAGCACTCACACTGTGTGTGTGTTTCAGAAACAATGTGTTTTCTCACAATCCTGTTGGGGGTTCCTGGGCAGAGTGAGTACACAGATGTCGTCACAGCAACAGCTGCTCAGACAGCTGAGGTGGGCTCATGTGGTGTTCCTCTGACAGAGATCACATTGTCTGGACACAAGTCTGAAGTACAATGGAGGAATTACGCAAAAGGCATACTGGGTGAGAGAAAAACATCGGATCCTTTAAGTGTTCAAACTCAAAGTTTCTACCGAGCCGTCTAAATCCAGCCAGTGAACCAGAGAGGACTTCATAACCAATGCAGTGACAGATGAGAGGAGGATCAACACACTCCAAATATGACCTGGAACAACTGCAGACATCCTGAATCACATGTTTTATGTGTGTGTGTGTGTGTGTGTGTGTGTGTGTGTGTGTGTGTGTGTGTGTGTGTGTGAGAGAGTGTCAGTAATCTGTCGCCCCCCATGCGAACGTCACCCTATAATTTGTTTCACTGATGTGTGCAGCCCATTTATCTGTCACCCTCTCTCTCTCTCTCTCTCTCTCTCTCTCTCTCTCTCTCTCTCTCTCTCTCTCTCTCTCTCTCTTTGTCATTGGGTGTGACTGAGGTTAAAAAAAGCTGGCACAGTAGACGTGAAAAAGAAATTCTGACCGACTGGTGAGAAATGACAGATGTTGTTGCCAGATGTGCAGAAAGGGTTGGAAGTTATATGAGGCTGCAGACAGTAAATACAAACATCTCTCTCAAGAAAACAGTCACACCCACGTTAACGGCCTCTTCCTCCTCTGCTCTTCAGCGCTTACACAGATACACACACAGTGCACACACTTATTTAATCACTTTCACATCCAAGCATAATGAACACTCACATACACAAGAGGCATTTGTACAGTTATGGGGGCGGCTGTGACCCAGGAGACGGAGTGGGTCACCGGCTCCTCCTGTACTAAAGTACCCTTGAGCAGGACACTGGACTCCAAATTGCTCTCTTTGCTGCCATCTGTGTGTGAATGCTATAAGTGCAGTCCAGTTACCATACATGTACAAAGCACCCATGCACATCCAAGCAAAACAACTCTGTTTACATACTGAGACACATACTTACATATACAGTGTGTGTACACACAAATGGAGAATTTGTCCTTCACTTTTGGACAGTGTTGGACTAGTTACAACAACAGTAATTAGTTACACTTATAGTTATATGTTTTTTCAGAATGAATGAATGGGAAGTATATTTAAATTTATATTGGTTCCTTTAAAAACAATTTATGTGTGGGATGACATTGCACACAGAAGGATTTGTGAATCAAACCTTTATAACAACGTCATACCTAAATAGAAAATGAATTTGTCTCACTTTTTCAATAGATTGAATTTGGGATGTGGTATCACAGAGACTGTAACTGTGACAACCAACCATCACATCCACAATGTAGTTGTCCTGAGAGGGTTCATTATTTGGGGTTTGATAAGCCTTATCTTACAGAGGCAGATCTAGGGAGGTGGCTAAAAAAGGCCTGACCACCCCAGTTTGGTGTCGAATGCTGTGAAACTTACCACATTTCAGACTAACTTCAATGAAATAAGACTTGTATTTGGAAAAATGTCTGAAGATAAAACACTGTATTGATAATGCCACCTTTAAATATTTCTATTATATGCTTTATTAATGTGCCACTATATGTTTATACTATTACTACTATTATGTGTTTGTTTGCAATTGAATCAGCATATATTTCTGCCTCCCCCTTAAAGTCTCCATGCACCAATTATATTTCTTTAGATCCGCCCCTGCTAATTATAAAAAGCTGGATTTAGCCAAGAATCAAAAGCCAATTGAGGTTTTTTTTTTTTTATATTTGCACTTAATAGTTGCTTTCATTGTATATATATATATATATTCAAATACAAGAAATGTTCCTTGGTAAGTTGATGTATAACAATTAAACATAGAACACTATAAATAAAGATAGAAAAAGAGACCATAAAAGAGACAATATGTACAATATGGCTGAATACTTGAATAAATGAAGAGTTGTACAGGAATGTGCAAATGTGCAAAGTATAAAATTTAGAGGAAAGTGAATTAATTAATCAATCCTGGTGGAGCCTCCTGCCATGGTCCTGCTAGATTTCCATGCCAATGCTGTTGTTGCTGTGCACCTGTCTGTCTGTCTGTCTGTCTCTCTCTCTCTCTCTGTCTCTCTCTCTCTCACCCCAACTGGTCGAGACAGACGACCACCCACCTAGAGCCGGAGGATCTGTCCTAGGTTTCTGCCTTTTAACAGGCAGTTTTTCCTTGCCCTTGTCTCCAAGTGCTCATGGTGGTACTGTTGGGTCTCTGTAAATAATGTTATAAAGAATTCGGTCTAGCTCTATTTGAAAAGTGTCCTGAGATAACTTCTGTTATGAATTGGCGCTGTACAAATAAAATTGAATTGAATTGAATAAAAAAAAAAAAAAAGACATTTCCTAATACTAAAGTTTAAACATTCAATTTCACAACAAACAATAAAACATAAAATACACAATAATATAAAGATACAATACTTATGGTAAAAGTATAAATTATTAGTAGTATTAAAGTCTGTCTTCCCCTCCTGCAACCCACAGGGGGCGCTGCTTGTTTTCCCGCTCTGTGTACCGGGTGTAACATTTGACCCACCGGAAACGGAAACCAGCGGCTTGTTGTGCGCTCGTCGTGTTAGCGCTGCCTTTGTAACGTACGGCGGACGAGAAACAACCTCATGCTACCGACCTAAACACTCTGCACCGATGTCCCCGCTGTCTCTGTAGATAAAGGACGGAGTGAAGTGAACTCTGCGGATGTTGTGAGTCTGCGGGAGTCGGTTCACGTTGAGTAAAAGTGCGGTAAAAAGCTAAAAAAAACCAAAAAAAGAGACTAAACCCGCACCATGGCGGATGTTACTGCCCGTAGCCTGCAGTACGAGTACAAAGCGGTGAGTATGTGTGTAGAGAAACTTATGAAACACCAACACATTCAAAGTTATACATCTATATCAGCTTTTAATACTTATATTTATATTAAACCAACCAGCTGTGTTTTTCCTTGTTGAGTGTTGCGCACACTGTTTTGTGCTGACTGTGTGTTTTTTTTTTTTTTTTGGTTTGTAGAACTCCAACTTGGTGTTACAAGCTGATCGATCTCTGATCGACCGCACACGGAGAGATGAGCCCACCGGAGAGGTGCTGTCCCTGGTGGGGAAGCTGGAGGGGACCAAGATGGGTGACAAGTCTCAGAGGACCAAACCTCAGAAGCTGGAGGAGAGACGAGACAAGTCAGTGTTGTTTTATCAAGTGGAAGCAACATGTTTGTGTTTAGCTTTATTTCATTTAGACAGGGTTCCCCACGCGTCCTGGAACATCTGGAAATTTAGAGACTAGTTTTCCAGTTGTGGAAAGACCTGGAAGTGGATTAAAATAAGCAGATATTCTGGGAATAATCTTAGTTGTCCTGAAAAAAAAAGCCCCTCTCTCATGTCTCCTACGTAAACCTAGATGCGTGGTTTGTTTTAAAGGGCCCAATGTTTACGGCAGGATGCATTAAAGTTATTGTACAGGGCTTGAAACTAACTTTTTCTCCGCCTTCCCAAAACTCAAAAGAACACTAACATTGTTCCACAGCATTTATCAGCCCTGTGAGCACAGATATTGGCCACTGCAGATAATTTTTAAATGCCAAATAATCCGGTCTATCACTAAACTGGACAGACGGTAGCTGTGTGGTATGACACTTCAAAGTGGATTAACCAGATATAAAGCG